CCACTTTATTATTTTTCTAAATTAAATCCATTCCTCATCCTCCTTCCATTTTCGAGCAGAACAAATAGCCGCAACAGCAGTGCAAAGAAGATATTTCATAAACAGACGTTGTCTACTTCCTCGTCCAACTTCAGCCTTTGACTTTACCAGAGCGAAAGCTTGTCTGGTCTTCTTCTTTGAGTAAAAGATTTCAGCGCAAACCACAAAAAGGATTAAAAGAGCTGGATGCTGTTGTTCAGTAAGGGTTGTAATGTAATGACTTAATTACTTAGCAGAACAATTGTTTGCGTTAGCTGTTTCACTAGGAAAGGACTTTTTGCTAGTAAGGATATTGCGAGACAAGTTAATGAAAAGTCTCATAAGGGAGCGTCCATAAATCACGTGATCGATTTTTGGACAATTTTGACCCCCTCCCCCCCTTGGTGATCGGTGGTGATAATTTCGCTACCCCTCCCCCCCCACCGGTCACGTGACAGGAGATGATGCTCAAATTAAATCATGTTGTCCGGAATAACAATATTTTTTAAATCATTAATTAAATTAAGTAGATGCTACATTACACACATGTGTAAATAACTATTTACTACGCCAGTCAGACATAAGAATTTAAGTCGACGCAAGTTTCTCAATGTGCAAAATGAAAATCAAATTTATATAACGTGCGTGTGGTATTCCAAGAAAGTTTATATATAACTCTCATGACATTTATTGATACAAAAGTTTAAAAAAAACTTTACTCATGTCACGTGACATCTGACCATCTACCCCCCCCCCGTGATAATTGGTGACAAATTTCAGACCCCCTCCCCCCCTCTAATCGATCACGTGATTTATGGACGCTCCCTAAGCCATACGACCATCCATACATATATTTTATCTAATAACCGCATTTCGAAAATTACTCTAATGTCAATTTTCATGTTGCCTCCAATTCAATGACCCAACTACTAGGTTGTATATATGCATATGTATATCGTAGCATTTTATTAAATAAAGCGTTCCAAGGACTTTTACAATAAAATCAGAATTTACGACTCTATATGCACACAATTGAAGCACGTGTTGTTGATGAGCAGAGAGCAGGTTTATTTTCTCAACTTTTGTACAATACGATACTCCTCTCCAATTATTATAAAGAGCGTCAATGAAGGATAACGCGCTTGTGATCCTAATCAATAGTGCTTCTGCAGCCCAAAACAAGTACAATAGAAGTATTATGTTTTCGTACAGCACATGTTATTCAATTCCTTGCTACTTTATCAATAGAATTGTGTTTGTAGACTGGGTATCTCGTGCGACTTGTGTGTCGTTCATGTACCATTTCTGAAGAAGTTAACATACATAAAGGGGTATAGTTGGCCTACTTATTAGCCCTAGTTTAGCTTTGATTGTTGGTGTAGGAAAATATGAGAAAAGCAATAATTCTTCCCCCAGGGGTTGGGTGGGAGACTCTGTAAGTTGAGAGAGTGAAAGCAGCAAGAAATTTATGGCTCATGTACCAGGGCGTTACACTCTCGCTTACTTACTTGACTGTCATGCTGAATTTTGGTTCGAATGGGTTCTGTAAAGGATAAACAGATAATCACTGGTTTGCTTTCTCTGGCTTGCTTTCTCTCTTCGTCCACTGCTTTCGTCGCTTCCCTATAGCTGCCTGGTCAGCATGGGTGATCTGATCGAAGCAGAAAAATGTCGAAAATTTTCCTCAGGCTAATTTACGCTCAAGGGAGAAAATTGGGTTAGCTGGAATCCCAATAATCACGATTATTTGGCAAGATATATATCACAAGGAGCACAAGTGATGTTGATAATGTCGTCCTTCAAATCAAGGGTCCGGCTGGATAGCTGACGTTGCTTTAGCAGTGTGTGGATGGCGTTGGCATTTACCATTTTCTACATGTTTGTGTTTGTCCTATTACTCTCCATTGTCCTTGTCAGTGCCTTGTCCAATCCAATTGTTCTTTGTTGTTCCTCGCCAACACTTGGCTGGTTGGCACTTGTTCTCTAAACTTGGTCCACAATTCATTCCTTCGTCGTCTCGTTTTCCAAGTGGAAATTGGAGTGACATGAAGGCCTACACATATATGAATGTACGTAGTCGATGGGGGCAGGGCGTGTCATATCGTGCATCGTACACGTATTACAGTGAACTGCTTATTGGCTTAGGTTTGAACTGATTCCTTCTGGTGGTGGTCTTCGAGTTCCATGTAGTGTGTGACCTAATAAAGGAGAGAATTGTGTATCTGGAACTTGTTCTAGTCGGTCGTCCTTTGGTACGTTGTTTCATGAATGGTGACAACTTTGGAAGGACACCTACTTTTTCATAAACTTGTTATTTTGTTACACAATTTATACTAGCGGGGAAAAGTAGGTCTCTGGATGAGCTGAGCTGACTGCTGGTGAAAGTGAGCAAAGTGACGGTTGGTGGAGATACTTTTGAGTTTCGGCTATGTTCATTCCTTTCCCTGGAATGTTGTGTTGTAATATTGTGGCCGTGGTTCCAGTAGGGTTGCATCTGCCTGCATGTGTACATATAAATGCAGAGAGATAGATGGCCATTTTCAGTCGAGGACAAGTCCTTCTCTCCGGTTCTGCCTTTCCCTTTCGTGCGAGAGAAGCATTGAGAGAGAGAGAAGTGAAAGTAGTTGGTGGGTGGCATGACAGGGGCAATGATGACAAACACAAGAGTGTGTCTCCCTGTCACTGAGATTTCACCCTCAAAACGGATTAGCTCCACACTTTGAGCACGGAACAATATCAAATGTCCCAATTCCTGGAAACCAAGAGTCCTTCACTCAATAGGTTTGGGTGGTCCATTCACAATGTTTTCTTCGCATTGGGGATCTGTGTAACCGGAACTTGTATATTTATCACTCACAATTGCAAGCAATTTTTGCAAGGCTAACAATAAGCTTTCGAATGATTTTTCAGAGAGATTTTTTCATCCAAAAATGGCACATGGAAAGGTTTATTTAGATGCATTTGTATTTAAAAGAGGGAATAGCTTGACGTCACTGATTAGAAAGTAGTTATTATTATCTCGTAATTAGTAATTATAGTTAGCAATATTTACGAAAGAGATCTGTCAATGAGATGCGCAAAATTGAGTTGGGATCACTGGAATCGGGGATAAGGTGATCATTAAAACTGGACAATGAGCTCGCACCTCAACCACATCTACATTTACCAAAAATATACTTTCACTTTTGATGACAAAATTGTGAATTGATTTTTATATATTTATGAGGTATCATGTATATGTATAAATCAAGTCACAATTTTTCCAATTCTTCAAGGCCGGATTTGTACATATTCCAAAAAGTCGACTAAACGACATAACCTGTTGTGGCATCAAATTAGAAATTAATCCAAAAGCTACACCAATTATATACTATATTTACTATATATTTTCTTTTCCTACATTTTGTGCATTATCATTATGAAATCTGCCAATTCAACAATTGGCCCAAGTAGAGAATTTCACTATTGTTGTACAAGCCATTGTTAACAATTGAGATATAATTACGCTTTTTATTTGGGAAGTATCTATATTATATCTTTGAATTCCACTTTGGCATGTAAACGTGAACCGGGAAATGTCTTGTAAATAATTGCCTCAGCTTCAGTATAATAAATCAATGGCCTGATGGGAAAGTGTTCCATCTGAAATTTAATAGAAGAGAAAAGTGGTCGAGGTGAGTGGAGTGGCGAGGGTGAAAGGTTCATCTAACTCGATTTTCCAACCTTGTATACAGAATTTCTTGAAATTCCAATTCTGCTGCCTCCCAAAAAAGTCCATCCTAGAAATCTTGTCAAAAGTAGAACACGAAACTATGAAAGTCCTAACACAATTGTGACGAAAGAGAAGTATTAAGTGTCAGATGACAGGAAAGGAAGCTCCATCCTGCTACTGGCAGTTTGATTAGTATTTTAAGTAGAAAATGGTAGAAATCTATCATAAATGCCATCTCAACGCTGTTCCACCGTTGCAAAAATAAGAGAAGAAGACGAATCATTCGTTTCATTATCTCGTTCAAAGAACGGAAATACTTGTCTCCTTCTAAATTAAAATTTCAAGATTGATCACTTAATTTGTTTTGAATCGTCTTCTCCACGTGCGGAGGTCAATTCTATGTATCTCAATGACATGCACTCCCATTATACTTATTTTTGTCTGCACACCTTGTGCGATGCAAATTTTAAACTTAAGCTTTACTCAATGACAAGAAATTTTGAATGCAATTATCGTTTATTACACCTGTTAATAATAGCATGCAACATACATACATATTGTAGTATTTAATACAAGAGCATGTAAGCGCATTGTCGGTCACATGGAATATATGAATTTATATATATAGCTTGTGGTGGTTGCGGAATTGGAAGGAGGAGCACACTTTGTTGGCACTGGAGTGAATCCCTGGAGTAATTGTTATGTCAGGTTTAGTCATCTCAATGAGAGCAATTATGAGCACTGTCTTAATAATTCACCTTTTAATTGCAATTATTGTTCTGGAGAAAGCGGAGTGGCTGGAACTAATGTACTCTGCAATATTTCCCGTGAGTATGCACTCCATACTCGTTTATATGTAATTATATATATGTACTTATCCTTAGCTTGAGCTATACATAAGCTCATAAAGCATTAATGACTCCTGGTTTATGAGGTATCGCCAAATACATTTATTTAGAAATTTTGTAAAATTGATAGGTATCACATGCCAAAATTAGTATCTAATATGCTACCGCCAGTGGTTACTATTTTTGAGTAGTTTGACCATGTGCCCAATGTTTTCATGTATTTATTATATGTGCTTTTATGTATGGTATCTATTCAATACTGTATTAATGTGTATGACAAACCTCTTAATTTGCAAACCGGTTCGTTTACGTACTACAAAAATTGCAAGAATAGCAAAAATGATTCAGCTAGGAAATTTGCAAGCCCTGTAATAAGAGTTTGAAAAACAAAAAATATCGTAGGAGCACCTTCGTCAATAACATCAGATTTATAATGTTTATTTAAATAATTTATGATAATTTATTACGTAAGCGAAGACTACAGTACAAAAATAAATTAAATCCTTAAATAAAAAAAATATGGCTCACGTATGTAGGCATTCGGACCACTCCTTATCGCTCGTATACCAATACTTAAGTATAACCCTTAGTATGCATTCACCCATTTGTGACCGTGTGTGTCGTACGTCGAAAGTGACAACCATGCCCAACCCATTCACTCACCGTAGATTACTTGACGCTAATACTGGTTACTTACAATAATAGTTCAAACATAGAAAATGAAAACATTGCTTTTGTGTCATGAATATTGATGTCGTTATTTGTCGCAGTAATGTGCAAACCCAAAGGTAAACTCGCGTGTGGCAAAAGGAAGCGTAATAATAATTCGTAGCTCGTGTCATTATGACGATTTTGTTTTAGGAATTGTCCTGGATTTGGCGACCACGTCGTTGAAGAGTTTTCCAAAAAGAACCGTAAAAGATCCGTAGACGACGAAGCTCAGTCTCATACTCACCTGGTGACGATAACAGTCAGCTTCGGCCCCATCTGCAAATATAAAAATTATAAAGTGCCTTAGTAAATAGTGCTACAAGTATAAATCTTTAGTAGTTCTAAGCCAATAGAAATATACACTGGCTAATAGGACCACAAATTGGGTGAAATTAGCTTTGGGATTTCTTACTAATGAGGTACACGGTGTACATGTTTACGAAAAGTCCAACAATCATTTGTGTCAACTGACAAGTTGTTATCACGTTCGAGACGAAACGGGGGATCTGAATGTTGATGGCTTTCAGAGCAAAATATGGGTACATCAAACTGGAATAAGTCAATAAATAGCACAATTTAGATTTCTAGAAGCAAACTGCATATCCTGATCCTGTGGTTTTTACCTGTGAACTGCATAGTTCATGACCACATAATATCGAGAAATTGGTTCCAGGTAAGGAGCACTAATCCAGCACATGACCATTGTCTATGAATGATGCGATGATACCATTAAATGATACCACCAGCAATGCATAATTAATAACTGATAATTAATACCATAAGATGATGATACCATTGCAGAAAAATTAAAGGCCTCTTCCGCAGAACGATAAAAACGGTATCTCCTAAAATTATAAAAAGGCATTAAAGTTAGTTATAAAGTTGCTTAAATACTTATGTACTTAAATTATTAAGTAAGCCCAAAGTATTTATAATATAGTAATGATTTCGCTAGAAACCGGAATTCTTCTCACCAAGCTCAACGTATTTCGAGAGGATAAAGGCGAGTGACCAGAATGCAAGTGGCATGTTGCCTCCGCTCCTGTGAAACCAAGATTATTATACATTTTTGGTGGATTCATGCATTTTAAAATAATCTGTCCCGTTTAGATAAAATATGGGATTTGACTCGGATCTGAAACCCTGACCCAACCACTGCGATAAAACTCCACAAAATTGTACGTCAGAATGCTCGTCATCCAACATTCCTCAAGCAAATTGTCATCATCGTCCCCACAAATAGTTTGGTACTCACCTTTCGCAAATAGTTTTATAAAATCCATTTTCACTGGACAGCACGAAAAAAAATTCTGGAGCAGTGCGAATAAATCCGACTATTGAAAAAATTCCTAGTGTTAAATTCCAGAGGAAAAGTTCTCGTTTCAGGTCTAGTGCTTTCCTCGTGGACATGAACGCCTTGAGCCCAAAGATGGTGATGATGTAAATGACTCCAGCAATAAGGCAAAAGTGCCATTTGACACTCATATATCGACACCACTCCTTCCAATCGTAAACTTCGAAATCGTAGGGGAGGAATCGTGGGGGGTCCTCCAATTCGACCGACGAATAGTCAAAATACGTAGACGAATCTCCCGATACGTTAAGAATTTGCGATTGTTTTACTGCGGCCGTCGCCATATTTGCTTGAATGTTTCCCCCTTGGAGATTATCACAGCTATTATTTCCCACTACTAGTAGGTCGTTATTAGTTGCTAGAAATGAAAAAATTGCAGTGTTGCTTCGCAATGTCCAAAAATGTAACTAGTAAAGTTTGGAGGAGATATATCCAGAAATATCCAAGGGTCCCAGGTTTCGTTTGTCAGATTGAGTTTCACTTTTCTTAACCCTTGATTCACCTCAGTAGTTGAATATTCTACAAACTACGAAAGAGTTGAAGGGTATAGATGAGTTGCATTCCAACCATGAACGCATAGTCTAGCTAGGACTAGGAGCAATAAGTGGACTAACCCATCAACTAACTAACTAAATAATAACTACATATGCAGCAGGTTGCTGTGAGGACCAAGCCGCAGCGACTATGCCAGTGACCCACCAACAGCAATCTCAAAACTGTGTCACATCAGAACCAAAACCAAAGACTAGACCGTAAGTGGTGGCAGTCCTTTGGTCAGACAAGACGAGTGGAATACATCATTAATAACAATACAAACATTATTCAAGCACATTTTCCTCTCTTGGTCGATCCCTAAACGTAAGCTGATCAGTAACATCCCCAACTAACTGATAATCCAACCAACCAAGCGGAAAACGAAATACATATGTACGCATAATATACATTTGCACTGCATTGTTGCACTGTTGATACTCGTATAGAAATCTCTGTAGTGGGCAGACTTACCAAAGGAAAACAACGTGTGCATGCATTTATGAATTGAGATTTGCTTGAGATTTGATTGAGACTGGGGGCATATGTACTTTTGTATGTATGAACAGTCTTGTAAACTTGAATATTATTGGGAAGACCAGATTGACAAGTTATGGTAGAAACTGCATCAAAATCCCCAAGTCGAATCCTAACCATTTTAGTCAGACTTTGAAATCAATGAAATAAACCATATGTAAGTCATACACATATATTTTACACACAAATATTATCTGTACGCTCATGGTGCCTTTTTATGAAAATTTACTGGGGCCGATCTCTAAAAGCTGTGACAAGTAGCCAGTGCCGTTTTATTTACTTGTTTTAATTTTTAATTCATACAAGATCCACGAAAGTGAATTTAAAGAAAAGCAATGAACTCCACTTTAGTTTGCTCAAAAAGTAAAGTACAACTTTAAAAAAACTTTGCCTGTAAGCTCGCAAAAATGACGGTCGCAAAATGCATGAAGATAAAGAGAGCTGTGAAGATTGACTTTGGTCATTCATTCAGGTTTCACTGCAGAGAGGCTGCTCACTCAATATTAAATCTTCGAGCTGACTAATGTATAGCATAACTGCAAAAGATCAAAAGTGGGTCAAAAATCTAAGCGATATTTGAAATATATAAATTTTTAATATAAAATCTGCATAATTATTTCTCGTATTTTTTAAACAACACATTATGGCACACGCGTATTATTTTACTTCGTCTTCATTCCCACATCATGTAAATAGGTAGTGCATACGTACATAGATATACAAAACTTGCAGTAGATAGTTTGTTCATTAAATTAAATTAAACTGAACCCAAAAAACGTGTCTTATGTATATTATTGAAACAGATAAATTTGCACTCTGTTTCATGTTTTTGCGAAATATTACGATTTGGCACTATTTAAAATGACATAAGAAATGCATCATGCGCCCTGCAATACGAATGTATAACGCATACCTGCAGATGATTACGTATGTAGCAAGTAATAGCATTTTCTGCTGCAGACCATTATCAAGGAATTATAAGGCGAAATCAGATCATCAGCTCTGATAAGTCAAGGGCGCACTCGAATCACTTTTGCTTCATTTTTGGAATATCTATACATACGTACATGGATAGTAGCAGTGCTCACTCTTGTTGTGTGCATGGCATGCTAGCTATTTGTATCGTATCAATGCGTGAGTCCAACTTTATTAAATAATTTGCAGGTTGATCTTTATGATTTTACGAATTTGTGCGTGATCATGGTCAGTGATGCTGGCAGGTTACGCACGATGAATGAAGGGAAAATGGGACGAGCGAGATGGGTGATGACGAGTGGGATTGATTTTATTGTTGATGCAGGACACAGAGGAAAAGGGTCAAGGCTATGTCAGACTCGTTCGTAGGCAGACAGGTATTTATACCAAGAAGAAGAAGAAGCACAAGGAGGCAGAGTTTCCTAATTTCCATCGTGGACATTCCTGTGCTCCTACGTCCTACATATGTTCCTATGTACGAAGAAGTACCGTTCATTTACAGCAATAAACTACTTATGTATGAATCAGGATGACATTCTAGAGCAGTTGCAGTATACTTTTTCCTTCATATTATTAGAATCCTTATCATGATTTGCTGCATTTTAATTATTTACAGCGCAATACGCCTCGTTGTTGGTTTATTATTATTACAGCCACTAACTATAAGTTTTTGTCGTAAAAGTTGACTATTTCAAGTTGACAGCGTTGGCGTGATTCAGTTGCATTAAGTTAATTACTGTATAAATTCTGGTTTGATTTGTTCCACTCATGTAGCATTATCTGTGGACTGTAGAAACTCTTTGGTAATAGCATCAAAATTCTGAGTACTTTAATTAAATCTCCAAAATTTACAAATATACATGCATATTTAATTATGTGTAGATTTATTAAAATATTTCTCTAGAATTGTTTCATTTTACTTTAGGATTAATTAAGTAAAGTCTCCCCGTCTAAATTTGTAATGTTTTGAATTATATTATATTATATGTGATGTCATCACTCCAACCGAATGCATAAATATGTGCAAGCAAGTGGTGTCATATGAAGTGGTGTGGCAAAGTAGTTATTATTATATTTAGTTTTGCAGCAATGGAGCCCACATAAATTGAATGGTCTGCGTGCATTCTGTGGCTGCGAGGGAGGATGAATTAGGGAAAGTTTGTTTGTAAAGTCCAGCTCTGGAAGAGGCCCTTTCATTGAATATTCATGAGATGAAGATCAAAATGACATGACTTGGCAATCCTTCAGGCTTAATGTAGTAATGTAATGGTTTTGGTACTTTTGAGATTTATTGGTTGAGGGTGAAACGCACTTGTGCCGAGCAAGTGGAAGAATGTCTCCAAATATAAATACACAAAATTTCCTCATTGCTGCTCCTCATGGATGGATGAAGGAACAGCGAAGAAAACTAATTACATTTGTTTCATTACATAAACTGCATAACCGGTATTTATTGTTTCTTCAAAGTCGGCAGTTCCAAAATCTAGAGCAATAAACATGATAACTTTGGCATACTGGTATTCTACGCAAAATTGTCATTCCTTCTGTTCCCAAACTAATTGTCAAAATGCAAAATTTATGCAGATGCTGACTTACTAAACAGTCATTTAATTTTGCATCGAGCATGTGAGTCTTTGTGTTTAAAAATAAAAACAATTATGTTTTTGAAGAATCCGAAACTCTGAAATGTAGCGTGAGGTTACAACACGTTTTTACAGGTTATACATGCATACTTAAATAAGTTGGAAGTCAGCTAGCCCAAAGAATGCATATTCATGTCATATCCTGCGCAATATCAAAATTTTAGTGTTGCGGTGTAATATAAAATAATGAATATGTCGGCAACCGATAATACATAAATAAATTATCCATTAATGGTTTTAGCACCCATAATTGCTTATAAAAGAACTCTAATCTACGTCAATTCCTCCTCTAAAATTTGAGCATATAACAAAATATAATTCAAATATAAAATAAGATCACTGTAGTTATCTAAAACCTAGTTTTGTATTTAAATAGCTTAACTATTAATTGCAAAGAAAAAGCAGAGAATGTAAAGAAGATGACCAAATCGTAACAGAACATGTAAATTGTTGGCTGTATAAGGATTATACAACTTTTACTCGTCCATAACTTTTTCCCTCAGGTTAAGTGCCAAGTTCAAGGTGACCATGGACAAATTTTTCAAAGGTGCATTTTTTCATTCTTTACGGCAATTAAATTTTGCAATTAAATCGGGAGGTGGTTACATATGTACGTTTATACATAGACCAAGAATTTTTGTGTTGGTGTTATTACTTATGTATAACGAACAAAAGGGGTGCAAAAACTATAGAATTTTAATTGATACTAAAACATTCTTTGATTAATTCCACTTTGGAATTCACATCTAACATCGGCTGGATTTGCATTAAACACTTCAATAATACGCAAATCGTATCTCCAGGAATTTTTATGGCTAGCGTGTGGTACAAGAATAAGGCTAAAAATTGTCGTGTTTATTAATGCTGGCATTATCAGAGGTATTTTAGGTACAAATAAATTAGTACTAAATAATCGTATCGACTGCAAAAAGAAAATGATTGTTTTACGGCGAAAATGTACAAATAGCAGCAGTCACATTAAAATTTTCTAACAAAAGACCATTATAGAATCTTGCATGTATTTAGTTGTATCGTTTCTAAAAATTGGCATTCAAGGTAATGAGCTTCGCACAGCAAAATTGTGCAAACGATATTTCTATTTTTGCAAACTCAAGGAAATCTTAGGTTCCTCATCTTGAGGGCAATCTGTGACAAGTCAAGTCTTGTTATCACCTTATATCTCGCTTATCTTTGGACACTTTTTCCAAAGGAACAGAAAGGCTTAAGCTGCAGCTTTGTTACTAAATATGTCTGTTGCTTCCTTGTGGATTAGTAGCTTCCTTCTGGTGACAATGCTCATGACGGTGGCACAAGGAAGGAATCATCCTGATTGTGACCACACTCAGGTAAATACAAATGCTTTTTATTGTCCTGTCAAATTCAGGACAAATATTAAGCACGCAGATCTCTTGTTAGAATCCAGAACTGCACAGATATACATTGTCGATAACGTCCAGTTTATTGGATGTCTCCTTCTAAACAGATAGGTTTGCTAACTATTAATCTGACACTCAGGTCATCAGGAACTTTCAGAGAATGTGCAAGTCCTATGCAATGTGGAAGCGAAGTACACCAAATCAGTTTATGCAAGGTAAAAAGTTTGGTCTATTCCTTACGTTGGGTTCAACTCAAGCACGTTAGCTAACCTTTACACGTGAAATTTTGAAGGCGATTTTGGCAACGACATAGGTCAATGGTCTACGAACAATGGTGGAGGATATTCTCCTTATGGCCGACGAACAGCAGTCCAACCCCCTTGGTGGTGGTATCCACAGTCTTCAGGTCAACAGGATGGGGGCGTGGATTCCCAAACGTATGGCAAATCGGAGAACCTGGACCCTATCTACTACGAGGGCGAGGAAGTACTCGCAACTTTGGAACGATGGCGCAGAAACCGAGAGGTGGAAGAACACCTGGAAAATTTCGTTCGATACCAGTGCTGCACAAATGGCTGTCCCTTCCCAGGATCATACCTGGAAGTAAGAATATTGCCAGTTTAATGTTTTTTAATTAGTAGATGAAAATATTTTTCTATATGATGCATGAGAATGATGCATGTCAAATATTTGCCATATGATTTTTTATTTAAAAAAAACTAACGCTTTTTCTTGTTTAGGTCGAGAAACGGACCAATATTTGCAGTCTTCGATAACATAACGGATGAAAGTGAAAATTTTTGATGTACTGAATTCTAGTAATAAACACATTCAAAATCCGAAATATATTCAAATACATATTCAAAATTGAGAAAATTTATATTGTTCTCCAAATAAAATGTAATCGGGAAATAACTTATTTGTATTACTGTACTTATGACCATTGGTCAGAATATTCCCCTATTTCACCTCTCAATAAATGATGAATGAAGATTGAAAATCTCTAATTGATTGAGATAGGCGTCTAAGATCATCATTCGGTCCCGTACAAGAATTGTGTATATACATTGACATCATTTAAAGCATAAATAATTCTTCCAATCCTCGTTAATTTTGGACAACCCCCACGATTGAAGCCCGATTCCCACGTTGAATGGCCAAACTGATCCTTGGAATCAGAAATGTTGTCGATATTGGTCCAGTGAATTCTCCTCTTCACATCTTTGATTAACTTCAACCCTTCCAACCCCCGTACTTCTGATGTTTCGACAATAAGTCACTCTATACTCTATGGGGCACCGCACCGCACCATAGGAACGATGTCAATTAATCGTGATATGCATCAAGAGCTTTATATATGCACATATAGATTCATGACAAGTTAATTACACAAATCTGTCGGTCTATTAGTAATATTTAGAAGTATTCAATCAAATATTTTCTACTTTGACAAGGAGTTAATATGGAGTCTGTAAATGTGACTACACGGAAGAGTAATTGTAGGCAAAATACCGTTAGCAATACGAGACCACAACTTTACGACTTATCAAAAGTTCCAAGAAGTGAAATGTAGGACTAATTATATTTTACATTATTAGTTTCTTGCCAAATACTTGCATGTTAATTTTAGATTTCATTTGCTGTTCTAGTTTATCCATAAAGACCAAGACAGCGGTAGACATTCTGAGACAAAGGTTTCCGGTGTCCAGTAGAGGAAAACCTCCTTCAGGGCTTCACCGATGGTGTCGGCTTCCCCAAACTACGGACGTACCTCGCTATTCAAGAGGTCGCATGGGATCCTCGGTTTGTCCAGATAACCATTATACATATTTAAAAGAAATTGCTCATCACATGCGATTGGTTTCCAGCTCATCCCACGTGAAATTCCCAGTTTTACTTTGTACAATGACCGAGTTCTCAAGAGTTGTTACAATCCACTTCACGACCCTGATTGTCTAAATTATTTTACGCTCCCTCAAGTTAGAGACATGTTGGAGAGCAGAGGGCTTATCACGAAAGCAGGAAATGTTCTTTGTTCCTTGGCTGAAATGCAACAATTTCATGAATACCTGATGGATATCTCCAACTCTCGCATTAACCAGTTTTTTATGAACCAGGTTCATTTAACTAACAGGAAAATATGTACACATATATTCCCAAAATATACTATAATTCAAATGATTTCAAATACATCTCACTTTCAGAACTGTCGAGATTTGTATGAATTTGAGCAACGTAAGATTCTAACCTCACCACGGAAAAAACAAGGGACAGCCACTAAGCATATCGAAAACAAGTTAGTAATTTCCATGTTCTAATCTAGGTTTCTATAATGTTTAAATAAAACAGATCTACTTTCATTAGATCCTCGGCTCCTTCGGCTAAAATGGTTGCAGAATTACGAGAACTCGCCCTCCTGAAAAATAGAGAATTAAAACAAGTTCAGCTACTGGAAAAAGGTTTAGAGAGGGACATGCACTTGCAACTGGTCATTCTCAAATGTCGAGATCAGGAAATGGAGCGACGCCGACAGCTCTTACTTCAGCAGACGATCAAGGACATTGCGGCCTGTGTACGAAAGGAAAACAATGCAATTGCATTGAACGAGAAAAAACAGCGTCGGGTAATTATTCAGCTTTATTTAATCAGCAGGTTTTTTAAGAACTCTTCAAGAGGTAGATAAATTTGATGGTTTTGCTCTGCTTGGCCAGAACATCGAGTGGATGGATTCAAAAATAAGGTCCGCTTCAAATCGAGCTGAACGAGAAAACATGTTACTGGAAGCACTGGTCAAAGATCGCAAGTTAAAAGTGATGAAGCGACAACTTCGGGTGGAGCAACATCGAAACAATATTTGTAGCGATATACATTTAAATAAAATTCCATCGACTGATTAAATATGTATGCAACGTATAAAAATCCTTACTTTCAGCGTTGGTCCAAGACGAACCGTGCTGTACTTGTGGACCATTGTCAAAAAGTACTTTTATATTTGGCTGAACAAGACGAGGGAGAGGAAAGCTGGGAGGAAAAATTTAGACACTCGACATCAAAGTGCTTTCATCGGCCAGCAGGGCCAACCGGATCCTGCAGCCAAAGCCGTAATGGAGTTGGAGCAGGAGTTGAAAAGTGGGTCAATTTGATAACAGAAATTTTGTAATATGTAATTAAATAGATTTCATAAAGACGACGTTGGCGTTAATGATGAATAATACTCGAGTATTTTTATTCCTCCCTCCCATCCAGAGGACGGGGTCGCTAATTTCTTCATGAATATTATGCGCATTCGAGGTGCATTCAAACTCAGGCCGGATGATTCAGTAACATCCACCTCGATCTCGATGGTGAGCGTAGAGGGATCCAATGCTTCCCTCATTAAACCATTCAGCTCTGGATGGAAAAATGCTGTAAAGAATAAGGCTGACAAAAATAACTTGGACGACTCACTTTCATCACAAGCTGATGTTAGAAACCACTGAATAAATTCAATAAAAGTATATGTATACTTAAGACTTTGTATGCACGTACATGATTCAATTGTTCATGAAATAGAAAAATGTCTAAATATGCAGTTGTTATACAGAAAAATAAATGTGAAAATTGTATTTCAAGCTAACCAGCATTGGGACTACCACTCGACGTTCAACTATGTACATACATTCGCCAATCAGATATGAACTTTCAATTAGGAAATTTAGGAGCGCATGTAAAGCTGATTAATTTAGAGCGACACGGAGATCACAACATCAGAACTAACAATAAAAATTAATCGTAATGCTATTAACAAGCGAGACTGAACTAATCTTATTATTCCTCGCATTCTGTCCAATTTTGCATATGTATGGATATAGGTCAACCATTGCTACTGGTGGTTCAAAGACGACGACGCAATAAAATTTCAACCTACCGCATCACCTGCCAGCGGTTGCAGAGGACATCAAACATTTTAAGACTTGGCCATCTTCATCCTTCCACCACTCACCCACCCACCGATCCACCACCGTTTGCGAAATATGAGGAGGAGGAGGAGGAATGAGAGACTTCCTCGTCCTCCTCCTCTGAGTTTGCTGATGGGGAGCAGGAGGGTGTGAAACGACAGAAACGTGCTTAGAATGAGACATTGGCAGAAATGAAATATAGATCTGGCAGATGAGATGAGATGGGAGATGTCCAAAGAAATTCGAATATTAAATCAAGCTGGAGCATAAAATACCGTCGCTTGCCATGACAAAGCCCATGCACTAGTCGTCCATCCACTAATTCCTAGCTTTAGCTGGGTGCCCTTCAGTTGGTTTGCAAAATTTGAGTAATTTTCAGCAAGAATAAGTTTTCAGGAAAAATTACTCGCACAACTTTATCTTCGTGGAGGATGAATATCATCAGAATAGAGAGTTGGTTTTGCAAGTCATAAATTTGCCTTAGTTTTGCCTGTAATTCCCTTATTAAATTACACAACATTTGGGCGAGGAAGCATGTACGTACGCAGACGAATGGGTATAGTACAAGCAGAGCAGCCTAATCGCCATTTGATTGGGTTGACGGGGTTCTATTGGGAAGTGAATCAATCATGTTTATGATGATGGGTTGAGAGGGAAGTGCTGAATTCCGTGAAAATTATAAATTCCACCGCAGAGGTAGACTCCAATTTTGCAAGAGTAAGCCAGAATTTCACATCAGTGTTCCATTTTGAAGATTGCCATCTCACCCTAAACCGAATCAACCACTGGCACACCGACTCCACCATCCAGGTCCCAGCCTTGCGAGGGTCACACAATGACACCGTTTGTGCAGGACGCCAGCTCTGAGGGGCGGAGGACACTGTGCGTGTGTGTGTGGAGGAGCTCGTTCCAGACTTTTGAGGATTATGCAAAAATGTCTCCACAAAGCCATAATCCCCCACTCAAGTGAGGCGAGCTACCCAACTCCTCCACTCCCAGCGCAGAGAGAAAGCACAATGCAATGCTTTCACCCAAATTTGGGCTTGTACATCTTCACCATCTAACCCCCTCCCTCCCTTCCTCCACACAAAACCATCGCCACGCCAGAAAAGAGAGCCAAGAGAACATCAAGCCTTTTGTATGTATTCAGTTGTTGATCTCTTCTTTTCAACTGTGACGAATTCCAAATTTTGCTGGAAAAGTAGTCGCTCACTTCCAAATATTGCTGATTCAAGTGTATATAAAATATTTCATGCACGTCGTGGGCGAGTGAGGAAGACAATCCATTTGCTATTTTAACAAGTCAAGGGTGATTTATGTTTTTATTTATTACGGTCCCCGTACATCCTACTGTAGATTGACAATGACCAAATTAATTAGATGTGATTCAGACTAGACCCTTTTTACGCACAGTTTAACTTGTGAGGCTATGAGTTAAGAAATGTCATACACTTATATGCACCTTAGACAATCCTCGTAAAATATTAATTGATATTTCTTGTCCAAGGAGAGTTTTACTTTTATCGCCGATCCCAATTTCTTTAAGTCGGCGAACTTTGCAATTTCTTCCCTAATTCCTTTCGACAGTATGACAAACTTGGGATTTATATCCTTAAAAACCACTTCAACTGCCAGTACGAGTGACGAAAGAAAGTGAAACTAAAAAATCCCCAATTCCCACGACCCACACAGAGATTTGAGAGAATTAAATTAAAATTTATTGAAGTGAAGAAGAGCGACTATTTCGGAAAAAGTTGAGTCAGTTGAGGCTGGTTGGACAATTCTCATAAAATAAAATATTATGGGGTCGTTTGAGACATTTGCAATTTGAGTTTCCTCAGACTTTCCTCTGCTGTACAGACGTAGCTCTGCCACCCCACCACAACTTTCTCCTTGTGCATCTGGCCAAGAAAGTATGTGCCAAGTTAACTATTATTCTCGTCAACATTAAGAGAGAACGACAACATATTGCGGAATAGTAAAAATGCCGTTACAGATTCTTTAAAGCACAGCACGCAGTTCATACGGCTTGCATTAAAACCAAACTGGTGGGCAAGTTGCTAAGTGTTTAGTCGCATACCTGACAATAAGTACATACTTCTTCCAGCACTTTTCCATACTTCCTGCTCTATTTCGTTTATTCATCCCCGTTTGACTCGGGTTTGAGTGTTAAATCCAAAAAAATCTTAAAAACTTTAAAGGGCAAAATCTCGGAAGAATAGAACCCAAAGACATAATGGGAATCAGAGCGTTTCCAGCTTTGACTTTGACTTGACATGAGCGAGTGGAGATCAATAGATAATAGATCTGAGATGGGAGGATGGGGGGAAGATGAAAGAGTTACCCAACCCTGAAATATTCGGAGAGAAGGAAGCTTTTACGTTTTTACACAAAAAACATTCTGTCTCAATGATTTTACATTTTTATGCAGGAACAGTGTTCACATAATTCTCTCGACATCTGTAGAGTTTTAAATGTATGTTTTTATGAAGAAACAGCAGAAATAATCAAAGATGGAAGTAAAATTTGTACAATTAGTCTCTCATGATTTTGGAATTTATTTCCAAGGGCTTAGTGGAACTATAGTGGAGTGGTTTATGTATTATTATTTTCAAGGGGAATCCATTTTGCTGTTCTGGCCCGCAAAACCGACATGTCAAACTCATATACGGAACAAAAGCTGCCTCACTCACTTTTTCTCCAACTTGACAATAGCAACTCGACAGACGGACGGACAGACAAGTCTTGTTGAATTCCAGTCGTTCAACTCCCACTCCAAACAATGACCTCGATCAAGCGAAACGCCAACAATTCACAAGGTTTCAAAGGATTCGTACAAAAAATCTATTTCAGAATTAATATGATGCCAACGGACGGATGTTTAAGATGATGGTTAAGCCTAACGTTAATGGGAATCATTTTTAGGCGGATTGGTGAGTAAATGTAACACTTTGCAAATTTGCGTAGTTTAATATTTCAGGTTTAACAGTGTTCCTAAAAACATAATAAATTGGTACATGCTGCGTACCTCCGTCGGTATGCAGCTTGAATTGTTATTTAACGCCAGGACATTTCACTCTTCCCAATTTGTTGCGTAAAAGTTTTCACTTGCGTTGTGCAATTGATGTTTTATGGCGGCGGTGGAGGAGAAAGGAGAGGAAAGTAGTCTGGGCCACCACAAATACAAAACTAGTGCGTATAATAAATACAAAAGGTTTACAACAGCCGAGTGGAAGACATATGAGCCATTCTTGCCGGACTGACATCTCATTTCTGGGCCAAATCCTCTATCGTTTACTTGTCCATGATTTTTCCTTCTGTGAATTACAGGGCGTCCACATCAACATGAAAACTTTGTAAAATTTTACAATTACTTTAAAATGAGCGTGATTTTAATCGCTCTCAGTTTTAACAGATGTGCGTACACTTAATTGGAACAAGTTTTTAAAGAACCCCGCAATTGGGTGAGTTGTATGGCACTGTAAGCAGTGAATTGTTGAAGGATTTGAAATTCGAAATGCTTTCTTTGTCCCTTTCTTTGTGTTGGGAAAAGTCCACAATTTTTTCCGCAAATCCTCTACATTTCTCATCCGGATTTCTTCATTTCTCCCACGACAATCCACACCAAAATGCTCCAAATCCAGCAATCTCTCCAGTACACAGAACTGAAAGGGAAGGAGGAGGAAGTTGAGTCTGGGGAAATCGGAGGGGAGCAATTTATACACAAGTCTGTCCTGGGACAAAATAGCATTGTGCACAATTGCACAAGAGAAATTTTGCAAAAGAGAGAGAAAAAGAATCCCGGAATAGCCATAAATGCAGATGACTTTAACAAGCTTTGGTGGTGGTTGAAATAATGCAGTGTAAATTGGGGGAAAGGCAAATGATACTAAAAACATGAAAGGAGAGAATATAAATAAAATGCTTTACGATGACCACGTCGTGAAACAAGCTACTCGAGGACAATAGTCATGATAATAATAATTATAGTAACTCTAAATATTGCGTGCCACAATTATATAACAGACACGCATGAATTGAAACTTTATACTTTGAGAATTGAAACGAATTTTTCGGAAACCCAAACTTGGGAGAGACCATTTTGCAGCCGACTTAGAAATGAGAGAGGTGACGAATGAAGAGGATTCCCTCTTGGGAAGGAATTTCAGACCCATTTTTATTTTCCACTCGACTTTGCCCACTTTTCCAACTTTTGGCCTGTGACTGAATGTGGATGTTATTCCTGTCTAGAAATCAATGGACTCTCATTCATCTTCCGTTGCAAAAAGGATGGAGAAAGCTAAAAAATTGAAAAAAGTTAAACGGACAGTCCCACCGGCCCCAAATGTTTTGTCATAAAAATAAATGTTTAAAAAGAAATAAAAAATAAGTTATTATTTGTATTGCATGCTCCTTCATTTGCTAGATACAGTCCTAAATATTTCCCTGATTTCAGTTTTCTTTTCATTCGAATTTTTCTTAAACTTTTTCTTAAAATTCGAAAACCAGCTTCCCAGCCACTCTGCCAAATGCCTGGATGAACCTATTCTCTCCATGTACGATTACTATAAGTACATATGTATAATATACGTATGTATAATACATACATTCAGGGATATTTCCGTCCACATGTATTATATCAAGAGTCATTCTAGAGTTCATTTCGCACTATTTTGTGTCGACATGGGAGTGATTTATCGCTTTTTTGCCCTGTGCGTCCAAGTTAAAGTAAAGTGGTTTATATAGAACGAGACTACTTTGTTTATGTTCCAGACACACCCACTGAGCCATCCAGTGTTTGGGGATACGGCTGCAACAACACCGTCCACGTCCGACTTGGTAAAAGTAAAGTGAAAGCAAAGTGGGACTTTCTCCCGGAATAAAATAAAATGAAATGTGAGACAGATGAAGTGGCAATATCTTAAAAATTGTCAAATATCAGTGCATGAATAGCTGCATTATTTTATAGTTTTACATGTATCACAAAGAAATCAAGAGTTTATTTTAAAATTTAAAACAAGTAAAAACAAATTACTTGATTTGCGAGTAAATCTATATCAATGTGTAAACGTGTAGTTGAACAGGCTGATCTAAGAATTATTCATCAACGCACCCCAGCCATAGCCCTTTCTGCTCATAAATCTGTATCAATATCAATTTTGATCCGAAGGGGAAGAAAGCGAAGCGAATGCATCATTTCCTTGGACATTTCGGGAGAAGAAAGTATTTATGGAGCCATTGTTCAAGGAAATCCAGGAAATCCTATTTGTCACTGACTGTATAAGCATTATTCCTCTCGCTCCTGCCCTACCGCCGGTGGTGGTGTAAACTCAAGAGTGAGGAAACACATTACTTTCCTGTCACTTAGAACAAACAGGGTGAGAGAACAAAGAAGCCGGTTTATTAATAAGGTCCTTTTGTCCATCTCGAAAGAAAAATTAATAATACTGAACAGATGATACGTTGGAAATATCCTGGAATTTTTTTATATGCCTGGTTTCATATCTCATACTTATATAAATGTGTGTGCCTACGTTCATTATGAGAATGGGCGATGTCAGCTAAAGAATTACTATCATTTTCATAGTATATGAAGGTACTATACTTACTTGTAAAGTGTTTGGTGATTCCTAAAAAATTTGGATAACATGTTCTTGTCATCCTGCTCATGGATACTTTTAAAATGAATTAAAGTGAAAGCATAAGGAGACAATAATTTTTTTCAGGCTTGTTCCATGAAATAAAGTGCGAGGAGATATTCTACCAATCAATTAATTCTTTTGTTCTTCAAAAAATTGATGTCGATCATTTGTAAAAAAAGAACTAAAATGGATGAGCATGATAAGTTTACCCAGTTTAAACATGATCACTCACCACACTCTTTGACGTCCATCCAAACAATCCAGATTTGGGAAGGCTTGATTGAATTGGTTGGGAGGTGGCCGTTAAATGGAAGCACTGGTGCAGTAGTACATAGCATCGATACCGATATTTTCAAAAATGTTTCAATTTACGACCACCATGATGCAATGGGCGAATAAGAATAAGCGCGACCCGCATGACACTACATTGAGAAACTTGAGAGATTTCTCAGCCTGGTGGTGAATAAATACTGAGATTTATGCAATGAATTTGAAGTGGATGTTCTGCTTTTGTTTGGTTTTTGGCTTTGGTTCAGCATAAATTAAGGAGAAAGTGGGTAGCGACTGTGGGGGACCAAAAGGCCACAATAGCCAATGATAGGCGTCCTTGATGTTCCTCCAAACCCTACTTTCCTTGGAGGAAAGTAAAGTGAATTTCGTGGGGAATGTAGAGCACGAAGGGAGCAGCAGTGTAGATGGTCATATTTGATTGTTAACCATAATCTGGTCGAGTTTGGTGGTCTATAACTAAAACTAAATGCACTTTTTATGACGGCCATTTAAGCAGTGAAAAAGTAGATCCATAAATTATGAAAGTTTCGAAAAATTTTAGAGAATGTAACGGAATAGAATTGGACAAACTTTGATTTTTTTGTTTCTGAGGGAAATTGGCGAAAACATAGATTGTGAATACACCCAACGAGGATTTAATGCTTTTTGGACGTAAATCGATGACGATGGGCCATATATATTGGAAATACGAGGGTGGTGGTGGTGGAAGTGACTGAAGCCATGCTTCTGGTTTGCTTGCTTTCTGCAGACGAAGTAAAGAAGATGCAATAAAAACTAGGCCAGACTTTTTCCAATTTCATTTCGATTTTATTTATTCCAAATGACTCACTCAGCCCCAAACTTAAGTACTTAATCGATTCACTTACTCATTTTTGCTTTGTCCTACAAAACTAGAGGAGCAGCTACACCTTAAATGGACATTGTACATATGATCTTACATATTACATAAGAATACATTTCACTTTATTTAAAGTATTTAGTTTAAATTAGTCGAAAGGTTCAATTCCCTTCGTATTTTTAGAAACATTAAATTCAACCTTGCTTTTTTTCTCCTCGCAACCATAAAGTACAACTTGATTTCGTTGCACTGGCCTATGCATATTTTAGATATATAGTTAGTCAATATTATTATGTACACATATTTACATACATATTTATGCAGAGCGCACGCAAATCAGGAATTATGGACGATTTATATACATATTATATATGTTCATATATACATTGATGAGACGAACAAATATTTATTACTTACACACATACGTATGATTCTTATGCATACCTAATTATACGCACCTCTTATTCCTGCTTCAATTATTGTTATTTGCAAATATCATTTTACATGATTGAAGAATATGTATGTAACTAGCAAAATTTGTTATATTTAATTATTATAACCAACTAATTTCACACTAGGATCAAGCAGACTGAAAATGAACATATTTATTATATAAAGTTATTATTCAGCACTTAATTATATAAGACATCTTTAAAAACTCAGTACGGCCAGAGTAACAGGACACACACAAGTAATCATTCGAATCATGTCCTAATCATGCAAGTCGAACTGCAGGGTTTGGGGGTTAAACTTGATTTGTCCCAAAACTCACAATGGAGAGGTGTCAGGTGGTTATCGCCAATGTGGACTGGACTAATTTTAAATTGTTCAGGCCCAGAAATAAGCCCACCCGTATTTTTTCGTTTTCCTGAATGGGCATATTTACGCCCGTGGTGGAATTTTCAAAAAAAATTTCAGCCAAAATCCTGATTTTTAAAAACGCTGTAACTTTTCGAATTTTAGCCCGATTTCAAAAATTGAATACAATTTGTGTTCAGAATTACTTCCCTGCAAATATAAAACTTCTTTTTCAAAAAATTTTTAATTTTCAAAAAATTTTTAATTTTCAAAAAATTATCGTTTTTTTCATTTCTAAAAACTCAGAAATGGCATGAAAATATTAAATTTAAAAAAATTTTGAAAATGAATTTTTATATTTTCAGGGAATTAATTCTGAACACAAATTGTATTCAATTTTTGAAATCGGGCTAAAATTCGAAAAGTTACAGCGTTTTTAAAAATCAGGATTTTGGCTGAAATTTTTTTTGAAAATTCCGCCACGGGCGTAAATATGCCCATTCAGGAAAACGAAAAAATACGGGTGGGCTTATTTCTGGGCCTGAACAATTTAAAATTAGTCCGGTCCACATTGGCGATAACCACCTGACACCTCCTCATTGTCAGTATACATGGGTACATATATTCAGCAACTTGTTGTTGGAGCTTTGGGGGTCAAGAAGAAATATATTAATTCGATGGATCAAATATTGAAGAGAAGCATAACTTTATGTCATCCCATCAGCTCGAGCAGTCAGTATTTCATGATGACAACAAATAATCCATCCGATACATACACCAGCCGCCTCTTTTCTCCTAAGTAACTGGCAAAAATCTTTCTCTGAAGACAATTTCTACCCGAGACATGAGCAGGACAAGTGCAGTTTTTGCTGTGTGAAAGATGTCGAAATATTGTAGCGTCCAATGCACCACTCAAACCACGAGACGACACTGCAACGAAATCCAAAACCCTTTTCTGCCTCAGCCGATCTTGTGTGACAGAAGCGGCCCTGAACTGGCGTGTGGATAGGAAGTTGGTTGGTGATGAGACAAAAAGTAGATTCGATTGCATTTCTTGGGAATGGCTGGAGTCACATGACAATCTCTGAAATCGGATTTGTTCCCGAGAGAAATCTCTCCCGGAAATCGGTTTTTTATTGAGAAATTGACCATGCTCACTTTCCAGGCGGTTTCTGTTGCGATGATATTTTATTTATTAGCAGGGCGAGGTTAAGGATCAGTGGTGGCTGGGGAGATGGAGTACGTCGTCGAACCAATAATAACCAACTCCATAATTCATATAAAGTCAAGTTTACTTGGAGCAAGGTTTAACTTTTGTTATGCTTAAGCTGCTTTTGATCAGAGGCCAATATTTGACGTTCGACTCTGACCGTTTCGTGGCCATGCATATCTTGTAATCCATACATATTTGATATACATGTATAATAATATATTGCAATATTTATACTGTCGCATAGATAGCAGTACATACGCACATCCAAAAACAGGAATAAAAGTTTATCCCAGATTATCTACATCCCATTTTGAATGGATTTTGGGCTAACGTTTTGAGGATCGAGTATTAACATTATTATTAAATCTGTATAAAGATAATCATTATGTGTCCATAAGCTGCTTCTCTGTAATCTTCGTTCCAATTAAGTTGTAAAGTCTCACTTTTCACTTGCACCATAATAATAATCCACCTACTTAATCTTAGAATATTAGTAATATGAATATGTGTAGGTAATGAATTAAACAAGAAGAATCGGATTATCGTCGTGAAGATACATTGTATACGGAGCTTTTCTGTAAACTTTTGTAATCAGTCACTGTAAAAAGTCTTCCACATTCAGCACATACACTGCTTACTCAATTCATCTAAGATTATTGTTCGAACCTACATACATACATCTTAAATTGGTTATTGGAGTTAGGCTAAAATTAGCACGACGAAGGGGTTCAAGTTCCCAGGACGAGGACCGATATACTTAAAAGAAATGCGGACAATGGATACTCCAACTGAAATTATAACAACTTTAAGCATCTTGTCCGAAGTCATATAATATTCTTTATGCACAAAATGAGGCTGTTACCTTTAGTTGTCCACCGTGCTACATAAAATATAAAAATACAGGATTAAATCATTTCACCAAAATTGCATTACCAACTTTATGTAGAAAGTGTTTTACATAAAAAGAAACAACAAACCTGCATCGCTGCTGGGCCTCGTAAGTCTGAAAATGTATAGAAATATAAAAAATGTCAATTTGACTTACACGTGACCGTGAAGACTTTTAATTCAAGATCAATATTAGACGAGTGCATGCAAAGCAAAATAATTGACGTAAAATTGGCTTTATTTGGCTGAGCTTGATTTATCGAATGGAAATCAACTAATCGCTTTCAATGCATCATTCTCAAAATTATCATTGTCTTTCTCGTCGTCATGTTCTTCATTTTCACACTCGAGCTAGAATAAATGAGAGCGGATGAGCAAAGGAGGAGGAGAAAGCGGAGAAAGCGACGCTGTGCATCTTGGCTGCACGATTAAGTGGAACGACATTCTTCCCCCGCAGATCGAGAGCTTGCTGCTTTCTTGGGAAAGAAGCTGCTCGACTTAATCCTGGCTCGTTAACAGGAGGACGTGGCATATTTACGACGTTGTATTTATTTATATTTACAGGAGTCAACTTTCTCCGCAGCATTGACGGTGGAAGGAGAGAGATGTGAATGATGGTGATGGTATAACCAACTGTGGAGCTCATTTCTTTTTCATGTGTAACGCAGAAGAAGTGGATGGTGCTGGTCGTGTCCCATTTCATTTCATTGTCATGCGAAGGAATTTAAGGAATACGAGGACGAGGAGGTGAGTGTGTGCGGTGTCCATTTAAACACTTTATGGCTGGCGAATCAAACGCTCGGCTTGAACGAGATGGGACAATAAAATTCGAAATAAATGAACACACTCTTTTTACGAGCAACCTGAGTCGTCCTTTTTATTGGAAGATGCTGCATGAGCTACTTTATAAAATCGGAATACCGCATTCTTTCCAAATTACTGCCCCGAAGAAGGAAAAGTCGATGCGAGAGGCAGCATATGTGGTCCTCAATTTGAATATAAAATAAAACTTTTTGCAAGATTTGGGAATTTCAGAGATGATATGAATGATCTCAGGTGCAACATTTGTTTATTTAGGTTGATTGGATTCGTGAATTGTTTGAAAGTCGGGATAGAATTTCTTCTGGGACGCCTCCATACTGCGTCGCGAAATGGGCGACAGCAGCTGCACATTAAATGCTATATTGTCGTCGTGATACCCTTTTCAATACTTTTTTTTGCTCCTTTTTGCATTTGTATTGCCTTTTAAGGAAATTGAGTCGCCCTGCGTCGGAAATCTTAGCGGGTCTGAAGAGTGATCATGACAGCAGAGTCGGATGTAAGATTGGCACAATTAGAGGAAGTGAGTGACACCACAGAGTCACGCTCTGCTTCTCTTTGACTTGACACGGACGAAAAGTCAAGCCAATTCAAGTACGAGTGGATCAATTAGTAAGCCGTGCACAAACCCTCTGGGTGGCATGCCTCTCAGTCACTCACTTCTATACGACCCGGATGTTCTGGCCCAGCACCACGACGAGACGACCGACTGGTACAACAAACAAGGGTAAAATCAATTGAAAGTAATCGTTTTCAACGCTGGAGCCTTAGGACAAACCATAATTGTGAAATAGAAGCAGGAATTCGAAGAGATGAAGTGTCGGCTGCTGGACAATGGACTGAGCACACGTGTCGGCTGGGTTCGTAACCAACCGCGCTAATGTTAAAATGAACCAAACCAAGCACACCGAAGCCAAATGACAAGAGCGGAAATGAATTTATAGTCCAACAGATGCTCCTCATTGCCCCCACCGCACGCACAATGGTCACTTTCGGTCTTTTGATTTAATGGTTTCTCAAATCCACAAAGTTGGAGTTGTTGGAAGCGACGCTAAAGCACTGTTCCTTCCTGGTTATGTGTGGCTTGGGACACGCGCATAAAATCAATGAATGTAAGATAATGGGAGCAGAAACGTGAAAGATTTCGTCGTTTTAAGTATTGTGAGGTAAACTTTAAACAGTTTACACTCAAAGTGATTTATCAAACCTCGGAAAATCATATTTTATTGCAATGCGAGGTTTTGAAATCGTCATGTAATGAATACTTTCATAGTTTGTTCATGAAAACGATTTTGTATGCATTTCTTATGGCGAGCTTGCCGTCGTTCTGATATACACAAGCCATAGACATTTGAACCAATTGCCCGTGAGAAACGAGGAGATGCAGTTATACATTGAAGTTGCTCTATTGCAGGGTTAACGATCAAGGTTCGAAATGACAATAATAATAATAACATTCACTCACCGTTTAAAACATGGACCTGAATCTCCTGCGCGTTTGCCGACGTTGGCGCACACGAATATCTACCGGTACTGTAAAGATGTAACAAAAAATATGCATAAGGATATGTATTTATCCCTCAAAAAGGTGCACGAGAGGATAATTAAATATAAAATTACTCTGATGGGCGGGCTTTCTGGATTAGCAAATAACTAACTGTCACATCTCCCTTCTCTGTAATTACCGACACTCCTCCTGTAATATGACACACACAAAATAATTCCCACAATTAAACAACATAATTGTACATAATTTTGAGATAAATAACATATTGTTCACAGTACCCCGTGGGCTGTCGTAATTAATTTCCTGTGGAAAAAAAATTCAGTTAAAACACAATATTCCACAACTTATTGAACCGACGAGGCTCAAAATATGTAAAAAGTGTTTGCCGTCTGACCTGATTATTATGCGTCCACAAAATATTTGCAGGGGGTTCAGGGCTATGTTCTACAACACATGTCAGATTAATCGTACTCCCTCGATTGATGTACATCTCCGGGGAGCCCATAATTGATGTATTTGGCTCTGAAATAAAAACATGACGTTAAAAAATGGTCCACTGGTACAATTAAGAAGTAAGAAAACATTGAGAAGGATTATATTTATTTACGCACAGATACGTATACATCTTGAAATTTACATATCACGATAATAATTAAACTAGCAAATATTTTATTTCGTTTTTAGATTTGACCACCTGGATCTCAGTTATCCCCCTCCTTCATATTCAAATGTCTGTCATTTTCCGTTGGGAATTTATATGGACATGCATGAATTTCATGGGGCACGTGACACTGACGTGACACTTTCTCTCAGGACGAATGTATTGCGTTATATTAAAGGAGTAACGACGTAATACATTTAAATAGGACGTGCCCATTTCACATTTCGTTTTGTGTAAAATTTTCTGCCTTCTGCGGCGCAAGTTATGGTATTTTGTTTTGTTGGGGGAAGATGCTGGCGAGGGAAACGGAGAAAGTTATGCAGAAATGCTGCTTGGTATTCTCAAACTCACTTTTGATCTCATCTCACTCTTCCCCATCATTTGTCAAATCCACATGCGAGGTAGTCCAATAACTCCTCCACTGCTATCTATCAACTACACAACCCTGCATAAAAATTCACGTGCAGGAAGAGCACGATCTTTTTCTAAAAACAGTGCGTACATATATTATGCACAATATTTATCCTTAGTCAGTTGGGGTACTGAGATTTAGTTATGCAACATTTTTAACCCTGTGAAAATGTGCTCAATGAATATAGTGATCAATGAATAGTACTGGCAGCGATCATGATACGGCCGTTGAATATTTACTTGGGAAAATATTTCGACGAATAGCGTTGGATTTATGTAGATAGGTTGAATACGGAGCAGCGTAATGAAAGTGTTAGTGAATCAGTGTGTGTCGCCCCAGGAGAGTGGTGACATATAATGCGGAGAGCTTAATAAGGTCTAGATTTGTCTCGAGAATGGTGGAAATAACTACGTGAATAAAAGAGGCGACGAATGTATGACGGATGAGTCTTTTGGGGACCTAACCATGATGCAGTAAATTTATTTACTCCCAACTTGAGCACGTCATACGCATGATGAAACAGGAAAACTAACTATTGTCAAAGAAAAATATAGGAAATGGGGAGTGCGTCATCCATTGATATATTGAGATAAAGGGGGTGAAACTGTATTAGTGGTGTAGATTGAATTCCGGAATTATCCATCCCAGAAATATCTGTTTTATTTGTTTATACTCTGCAACGTAAGGACTCATGTGGGAGAGATTTTATCAAAAACTTCTTATTCTCCCCATTTTCGCATCTATCTATATCTCTAATCGGAGATAGGCTCGCATGTCTCTCCACCCATGCCCCCATTTCATTCAATCTCATCATTCGACTCAATCCTTTGCAGCAGTCCGCTCAAATATTTATTAATGTTCAAAAGAGGAATGACAACAACAGCAGCACAACAAAATTCCAGGCCATGACGATTGGGGAGCAGAGTGAGTGAAAGCAAAACGGAATTTGTCCAGTGTGTCCACTGTCCATCCTCCCTCGGAGATGACAAATTGCGGAGGAAACGAAGCAGCAATTCCATTATTCGATATGCTCAAATGCTGTCACTCAATCATTCCAGACTCTGCTGCTGGCGAAACAGATGACCTTTATCTCGCTTTCAGGATTTTCCTCGGCTTTCTCATCTTTGCCAGGATGTCTGGCTGGCTGGCAAAAAAACGGTGATCAAATCAGCTTTTCCAAATTCACAGCTTTAGCTTGACGTTAAACTTCATAATTTTTTACTGGTGATTTAGCTGTGATAAATAAATAGATTTCCGAACTCAGATTCTATGCAATTAAATAATTCTAAATTTAGCCATGGCTTACAGAATCATGCGGTGGTTGGATGGATTACAATATTATGCAGGGAACCGCTATGGGTTATAGTTGGTTATGTACCCAGGTACGTGTCTGAGCCAGGTGAATTACATTGTGAATTCTACCATGAACACATATCAACCTTTAATCACTTTAATTTGACCACATTTTGCCTCTGATCTTTCATCCATGCTTTGAAAGGTAGGCCTCCTGGTGTGTTTGAACGAACGCTATTCTCACACCCAACCATCCATGCAGCATATGCAGATAAGCCTCTGAGCGTTGAACACGTTACAAATGTAATAGCTTTGGACCAATGCCATTGTTAATATTGACGTTACATCACCTAAGAAAAAAGCCCTACAAACTCGAGATATATGCCCAAAATTAATGTTGTAAAAAAATGTTTTATGCAAATTGTCTAACGCAGGCTTTATAAAAATATTCTTATTTTACGATGGTTCAACATTTTGCTGTTCATACATTAATCGCAAGTTTACAAAAACTGTTGTACGCACCACCAAATTGCATTTTGTGTTTTGAGAATATCTGGAACAGCTTCCTTAGCCTTACTTGCGAGTATAAATTACTCGCAGGCATTAGCACTTCCTTTGCTCATTATTGGGACGCTCTGTCGTAATAACTTGCGACTCGTCCTCGTCTTTTCTCTTCGTGTGCGTAGTCTTTGTCTTTTAAGGGAGTAAAACCACAAAAGCTCATCATCACTAAAATTCAACAACTTGCGTAAGCGAGACGACTTCTCATTACTCGCGTTTCGAGAGGAGTGACAAAGTCAACAGGCCGACACGCGCTTTCTCCAGATCTCGTTGAGTGAGTTTTCTTATATTCATTTCCCCTCGAGACTTTGTGATACAATTGGACGACGATGCAGTGAAATTTCCGGCTACGATTGCACAATTTGCCGTTATGTTGCATTCCTCCAATGAACCGTTATATCGTTCCTACTTTGCATATGTGCAAGTGTGTAATGTAGTGTATTTGCTATGCATGGATGCATCGTGATAACTGTGTACAAGGGAGTCAGGGGCTTTTGAACACGATCTCGTACACAACATGTAATGAAGTGTGCTAGCAAAATGTACATGCTATCTGAATTAAACAGTTAGGGGAGGATCCTCTGGAGGAAGGAGTGTCAAAGAACAGTCCATGAATTCATTATGATCTGGATGTTTTAATGAAAATACTCGAGAGACTCGCTCTATTTTTTTAGTTTGTTCCGTTGGCGGAATTTCATGATGATCTCAAAGGGATGAGCTTTTTAGTGGTAGAGATATTTTATAAAGTGTGTAATAAATATATTTTTAAAATTGTATCCTTGAGAAAATGTGGCCAAGGTTTGCACTTGCAATGGGTGTATAGTTTATTTGAAGTTTATAATTGGTGCTAGATCCAGGCATGAAAAACCACAGGTTTTGCCGTTTTACTTTTGAAATTCGGAGCATCTTATACCAAGTCTTTTTGATATGGAATTAGGGTCACTAGAAATTTCTGGATGTCGGTAAATTTCAAAACTGTTTGAAACAAAAGTGATCCTATAAGTTAAACATACCTGCGCACCATTAAATTTCATTTGACACTTTCGCCTTGAGAATTTTCCACCTTAATTTGACCTCGACAAAGTATGCAGTAATTTCAGTGAAAGTTAAGCATATATCGGCATTATGGAACAATCCTCTGACGACCTATTTAAAATTTTCCAATGCAACTTCCTCTTAAAGACGCTCCACTTGTCAAGTAAAACTTTTCTTGCACCCTTTGATTTTCATTAGAATTTGAATACTAATTAATTGAGGAAGGAAATAATCAGCCAAGTCAAGAAAAGTTGGAAAGTGAAGAGCTTCGACTTTCTTGAGCAAAAATTAGAGGGTGGCGTTTAGTTAACTTGAAGGATGGAGTTAGGAGACTGGTTGTTCTGGAATGAAGCCTATGCAGTCTCACTTTAGTGACCGCGTGAAAGTTTACTTAGCACAAGGTCCTGATCTGAAATCAATAAAGGTTCTCATTCCGGAGATTGGATTGTTAATGATTTTAATTCCAGGAAATTTTACTGCTTTCAGAGGAAGGAAATTGGACGTGTTGTGTACCTCACTCGAATGGAATTTGCATAGAATTTCGTCTGCGTCGTCTACGTTTACATACATGCGTCGCTATGTATCGGCTCCAATTTATTTTTTTCCATTATATTATAATGAATTTCGCAAAAAATATGAAGTTGACATGTAGTTAATAAGTATGCATGTGCTAAGTGAATATGTACATACGCACATGTGTATCTGTACATATTGTGTTGACGTTGCCAACAACACACGTATTTAGAATCGAGCATAGCTAGATTTGCATCAAATCAAATATTACAAAATACGCAAATCTCGTAAGTTAACCTTCAGCCAGAAACATTTCTCAATTTCCCATACTACACTTATCACTTGAAGGATGATGGTAGACTTAAGAAGATTATAGCCAACGTTACTTAACGTGCCACTTACAAAACATAGAAATAAGCACAAACTGGGCCTTGGGACAAAATTACACAGAAACTTTCACTTTTTATTTGGAAACTTTCTTCACAAACATCGTCCACAAACTGCCAGGAGCAGCAGCTTAGTGAAGGTAAAATTACTAGATATATGGTTCTGAGGTAATGAAATTCTCACACCTCAATCAATATGTACGTTTATATGCTTGCAATCCCACTGCACAAAACTACTCTCAAGCATTAAATATTTACAGTTTATCGCGTCACACAAATACGACGCGATCCGAGGATATGATGATAACTCGAGGACGGTAAAAATTGTTATTTTTCATCTGTTACTTGAGAGAGAGCGACGAAATGGGTGATACGTGGAGGCCAGACCTGGTGGCCAGACGCCAGACGTACCCACAAGACCAAAAGACCCCATTCTTCTACAAAGTTTATTACAGAACATTGCCCATTTAACCAAAGTCCTCCTTTAGTGTTTCACGAGTTTTCTCATCCTCGCTCTATTTTAAGACAAAAGGTGAAGGCAGAGCAACTGAGAGGAGCAGAGTGAATAAAATAATGTGATGAGATGTGAGTGGAGGTGACCCGAGGACATGAAGAGAGTGTTCTGTTAAGCAACTCGGCTAATTCAAGGAGAAAGTTTTATTGCAGAAATCTTCATTAGTTACTCGTCCTCGGTGTTCCTCCGACCTCCCGGTCCATGTACTTACGAAGGTGATGCCTATGCAGTGGATGAACCAACTTTTGTCTGGGCTGCTCAAAAAATATCTCTACATTTCCAACATGTTTCGTTTGAGGGATTCATCAAAAATCCCGAAATTTGATAAACCTTAAATAAGCAGTTGGGCAGACTTGGAATATTGAGTTATAAAAACTTGGGGCATTTAGTTCCCAACTTTCACAAGTTTTTGAATGTTCCTCATCACTCATTTTGTAAGGGTGCATCTCGTCACGGTACATTTGAAGAAAACAAAACGAGGTCTTTTCATCCTGTTCAATTTGCTCAGGAACCACCCACCCACCCGCCACCACCACCACGACCAATGCCACCGTCTCAAGACCAGGAGCACTTTCACTCTCTTCCTTCCCAATTGTCTGCATTCACATTTCTTTCTTCTGCTCTTGCTGGTGGTCGTCGTAGTGGCAGCAGTGTGGAACTATTAAGTAAATGTCGTTTCAGTTTTACTTTACTTCTCTTGCAATCACAATCACAAAGTGAAAGTCGAGAACTGGGGGAAGAAACAGTTCAAAGCAAAAGGCTACAATACGGCGAGGCGAAGTAATGTTGGGCGAACTAAATATAAAGCAACATAAAGAAACCACAGACTTCTATATCCATCCACCACAATCACCACGATTGCCACATACCAGGATCCAACTTATTCAATTGCACTCTTGAAACTATACTTGGTACAACAGTTACGTGTTCGATTATGCTATTGCACAAAGCATTACAACAGATGTGTCTTGCTGATGGGATTGGGAGACGTAGTAAAAGCAATATTCAAATGATACATAATGCTCATCAAAGTTTAAAACAATGTAAAATATGTGTGTATGTAATGATTCTTTCTATTCCAGATCATAGTCAAAAAGCACGTAAAATGGTTAATGCATGTAAAATGTGCGCATGTATGTGTAGTATATTTATGTCAGTACATATTTCTTATATAAGTATGTATTAAAGTATAAAACAAGTAAAAACGTCGGGCAACAGACAAAGTCAGTATACAAATACTAAATACTATCAGTAAACCAAAAGTACTATTTTCCACGAAGATTTTGTGACTACACAGCTTTTCTGGTGTTACCGGTGCATTTAGAGAATGGGCGTGATCACTTTGAATGTCTTAGTTGCGTAAGAAATAAGTGGTTATAAAGAATGGTTAACAGGCATATTTATACGAATAGGAAGCAACCCATCTCTAATTCCCCATTGGAGTAAAAGTAAAACAAGTCTCAACATACTTTTACTGAATCATTAGTTACACTTTTTCTCCAGAGTTGGCTGCAGACAAGGTAAATCGGCATGAAAAGCTGTTGGAGCAGAATGAAGAAGGACTTGAGAAGGTAAGTTGTCATAATTTGCTTCATTTCATGGCCACAGACCTGGGTAACATTAAAACTATCTTCTTTTCTAAGAATAAACTGAAATACAATGTAAATTTGTTTTCCGAGTTTTTAAGGCCAGCGAAGGCTTATGTAACCACCTTGTCTACTTGTATCTGTCTGTCTGTCTGCACGCTAACTTTATTTATCCGCTTGAGGTTAAATTTGATAAATATAGATCTACATACGTATTTAGATTATATAGGTAAACAGAATATGACCAAGTCGGTTCCTATCTATGTGGTCATTTTGCTGTGTGGGGGTGAAATCAAGCAAATAGAATCATTCAATCTTTCAAAATGTATGACGCTAGCTTTTTCCATTCAAGAAGTATTTGTTCATTTATAACCAAGAAATAGTCAGTGAAGTTTGTTTTAACTATGTGTAATGGGTTACCACAATTAGTTATTTAAAAAGGTCAAGATGAAAGTGGTGTGATGACGCATAAAATGGATTAGATAAATGTCACATAAGTTCATTGCCGCGAGTATTTGTCAGTTGTCGTAATGGTCGATTCATGCCGTGTTTGTTATAGGTATGTATTTACAAGTGTGTATGTACATATGTGTATGGCTCGGGCTAAATGGAGTCTACGTTGGAGGTTTTAATTGAACGCACAAAAATGTAATTTCTTCAAATAAACAAGTAAACCAGAGCCGTTGCAAGCATAAACTTTCATAAAATTCTAATTATCTCCAAAAACTACTTGGAAGTTTTGAAAAAATGCATTTCTCTACTCACGTTAATATGCATGATTTTCAGGTGTAGTAAACTTTGCATGCCGAGCAATAATAACTGAAACTCTGAGGAACACAAATGTAATTACACACAAAATATGAGAAAAATTCAAACTGTTTCCTAGTTTTTTTTCTCATTTTGGTTCAAAAATTTGTTTCTGTGGAGGATGCGTGGGTGTACTTGGTGCATTGTGGGATCCACAATTTGCACTGGTTCCGACAAATATAAGGCATTAGTTACCTCAGGAAAAAAATCATTGCAGCAGTCATCCATTGGTAACTGCAAAAACAGTTTCAGAGTAGCGAAGGTGGTTTGTTTGGTTAAGGAAATAAATTGCTTTTCTGTTTACAAAGGATTACTTTTAGTACTCGTCTTACCAAAGGAGAGTGAACATTCTCAGCACAACATCCACCAGCCATGCCACAAATTCTCGGGAACGTGGTTTTTTCTTTGACCACAAAGTACCAGGTTTTTTGAAGTTTGAGAAACATGAAGGAACGACGGCTAATTACCATTTCTATTTTTAAAATATAATCCTGCATACAGCACGAAATCCTTTGTACTGCACGTTTATACATATTCAACAAATTCGCATTTCCTTTATCAAACCATTTAACCTAATTTAACATTTTAAATATATTTACATTTGCGTATTTCACTTGAGTATAATTTGTGAGCAAAGGATTTTACAAATAAAAGTCGACAACATTCGATCCTTTTAGAGTGCAATCAAATAATTGAAAGTAATGAGCTGAATAGTGTGTAAAGTTTCGCTCAGGCATGCATACGTACCTATTAATAGTAATATTAATAGTAGATGACAAGACACGTTGATTTTATTATTGTGCAAACTTTGAGACATAAGGTATGAAATCCATAAAAAAACCCTAGAAAAAGTGAAATGAATGGATTGCGAAATACAGACTTATCATTCTGCTAACACTTCAACAACAATTGAGCTTGAAGTTTTTGGGTGGCACAAAAAAAAATTGTTGCAGCTCTGCTACCATTCCTGCTGCTTTTGTCCCTATCCCAGTGTCAAAGGTGACATTGCTAGTTTTGAAGAGATTTAATTTGAAGGTGCACTGAACCATCGTGGATAAAGTCGATATTTCTGTCACAATAGAAATCACTGATTCGGAAGCACATTGGCAAAAGTTCCATACTCCACGATTTCCCCAGCACCAACGGCACCGAGAACTGTAGCAAACCCTTTTGTCCTTTGTACAACGCACCAAAAACCCGATCTATTTTCTCCATCTAAGACTTTCACTCTGTTGGTCTTTTGGGAAGACTGCACAAGTATGCTTTACAGTGGTCAGATTTTGTCTCATCAGTTTCTTGCGTAGTTGGCGTAATCCGAATACAGAAAAGTATACAAGAATAACAAAGAAACTTACGAACGACGATGAGGTGCACAAAATGACCAATTGGGGGGCTGGTCGACACCTGGATGAGCATATAATAATAGGAATAAATATGATTATCTGCAGAAATTCGATTGGTAATGATGGCTCACTTGACACTCGTAAGTTCCAGAGTCCCGTATCTAAACAAACAAAGAAAAATTTATGAACACATTGACGTGTATATGTATGTATGAGGTAGTTATTTATAAACCATTCGAATCTGACGTACATATATTTACAAATAGTAAAGTAAACTACTATCAGGACTGACTGATTTTCCTAATACTTTAGAAACAACAATACGTAATTTAAAACGCAATCAGCCTCTTGGACACTAAATATGCAATAAAATAAGCATCACAATAAAAAATCTAATTCATAGAAAATGGGACAACAAGTTTTGTTGCATAGAGTCTGGAGTGGATTGTTGGACCTAGAAGCGAAAATTTGCAGCAATTTCGCGAAGAAGGAGAAGAGACATAAGGCATAACACACAACATGACATCATGTAATTTAGCTTAATGTAATGTAATGCGTGTAGCGCGCCCAAAGAATGGAGGAAAGTAATGCAGTTGAGAGGAAATGGGACTGCCCATTGACTCGATTGAATTGAATTGGAGGGAAGGTGCTTTGCCAAAGTGAAAAGAGCAATTGAGCCCGACTCACCTGGGGATACCTAATTTGAAGCGTCCATTCATTGGTGTGCGGCTTGTGCAGAGCTTGGAACCGTTGGTCACTGGTGTAAGTGTCACGCCCGACCGTCAGGAGGTGAATGTCGCGGTGACGCACAAAGGAAATCTGAAAAAAAGTTCATTTTAAAACGGATGACATATCATTCCTGCTGGACTTGTGTGCAGCGAAGGATCAAGCAAAAAATGTGTTCAAGATCGCCACGACAGAGAAAGTCTCGTTAAAAAAGTGAGGATAGTTTTGCACAACTTTTACGAATGGTCCTTGCAAAACACAAAGGGTTGAGATATGGACAAGACAAATCATTACTCGCTTCTATGTAGTACACGTATCTCAAATCTCCTCCCATATCTCATTCACCTGGATTTAGGTGGACAAAAGCTCGACAAAAATGAAAGAAAAACTTGTTTGGGTCTTTGAGAAAATCTCTTTCATCTAATAAAGCGTCACACAATTAGGATATGTAGCTCCTAATATCTCCAAATGAGTTGCAATTCGTAATGCGTAAATTTCGCACATGTAAAACCAATGAAATCGTATATTGTGACGAATCAAAGCAATTGATAAAATTACGTGCAAAACTTACCGTTCGGTTTCCAGCATTTAGAACTTTACACGACAGGGAAGCCGTTTTTCCAACGAGGGCGGTGACATTTCGAGAAAACTCTTTGTCAAAGTAGGGGCCCGGTGGTGAGTAAGCAGCAAAGTCAAATTCGTCGTCTTCTTCCGCGGAATTGGTGGATAGCACTGAAAATTTGTGGAAAAAGACAAAGAAAATGATTAAATTTATGTTGATCTTTTATCTTCTTTCCATATCGTAGTCTTTATAGCCAGGAAAAGAACCCTATCACTTTTCGCACATTTTTCCATCCTTCTGGTTATTTTATGACGCCATATAATCATCACTCACTTTATCACCTATTTTATCATCATTGCTTTATCATGTTGTGATATTGGCAACAAATTTTATTACGTTTCCTCCGAGAAATAATTTCCAGTTGACTACTTCCGATATAAAATGAGTGTAAAGCTGAAAAGGAATTCGCCTGTTGCAGAAATCCAACAATACAGGAAAGGAATCAGTCATCTCCTTCGTCGCAGTGGCTTCGTTCTGCTGGTGACAAGCTCTATTTACTCTTGTTTATGATGTGTGACAATACTCGTGTGTTTCCAGAAACGGTCGGTTTGCAGGCAAGCTAGTGAAGGCTTATCATGTTGGCTGTGCAGATACGTACGTATACACATATGTTTGGCAATATTTATTATTTTCCTGTCTTTTCTACCTCCACTAATAAAATGTATATCTTTTATCATGTTGGGGTAAATAATCTATACGTCTTGTGGAGCTCTCGAGTCAGTAAAACACACAATTCTTCAAGAAGTACATGAACAGAAATGTGTGCAGCTTTTAAATGGTCACGTGCTTTGGAATTGTTAATTGGGTAGCCCTTCATATTAAACCATTTGAGAAAGCATATGAAGCCTTCTAAAACTAACGACGTTATGTGAGCCTACACATCGATGTACATCGTAAAACAGGAAAGCGGTACCACAGCATGCATAAAGAAATCCTATAGTGTAATAACATCATGTGTGCTGCTATCACACCCGCGGTGGCCCAACATTAGTGGATTATTTTAGTTTGAAACAAGGGAAATAATGTAGAGCAGGGGACGGAAGGAGCTGAGCAGGTCTTATTCGCTGGTGAAAGTGAAGTAATAAGAAGAACCACAAAACAAAATGTATTGCACTTTCTCACCACACAATACACGCAGAGGTATCACATCCCATCACTTCATGTTTCATTTTTTATTACATGACTCCTTCCCAGACCGCAGCTCTTTACTCCTTACTCCATATTTGGATGATAAATCATTTCATGTGCTCACCCAACCAACCACCCCGAACTGGAACAGACGAGAATTATTTTTATAACCTACATTCCACTGCCACCAACCAACCAACCAACGCGAAGCTCATCCACGCATTGGAACTCGGTTTTTTGCAGAGGAGCGAGTCTGGAGTCCGAAGAAGATTAAAATAAAAGTGGCAGACGGAGTGCAAAAACCTCAAAAACAACTTTCCCATGCAGCGACGGAAGTGAAGGAGAGTCAAAAGCAAAAAAACAAGCATTTTATCAAGCATGTGCCCTTCAACATGTTTGCAAACATTATAACTTGGTCCATGTTCCTGCATTTCGTCACACACAAAAATATACACTCGAATTTAATTTGTTTTTGTGAACATCACTGAATTTGAGGTCTTTTGTAGTAAACTTTCTTACTTTCACTATTCCTTGATGCATATAATGTTTTTATTAGTAAGCAAGTTATTTATCAAGGAATGTCGTAGGTCACACACGGAATAAAAACGAAGTAAAAATATACTGTTCTGACAGTATGGTATGTATATAGGCATGTGCTTTACATCCGAATATTTACATGGTTTGATGAGTACACGAATTTCATCAAAAGAAAGCAACACCTAATCAATACTTGGGACATAAATAGTCAGGCAGCACTGACAGCGAGCGGTGCGGAGAATATGAGCCACTTTCTTATTGAGGAAAGGGGAGGACAACATGGAATATTATCGTCATTGCCACTGATACTTTTACTTCAGAGAGAAATCGGAAATTCCAATTAGTTCTAATAGACTTTTAAAAGAGGAGGAAAGACTTGAAAGGAAATTCTTGTGATGGAATGGATAAAAGTAAGTACATAAGTGCATGAAGAACAATAAAGAGAGAGAGGGAGACGAGGTCTGAGGTAAGGTGAGGAATTTATTCCTTCTTAATAATCGGCCAAAGTGGCAGATGTTACGTGAAATTGGTGACTGGTGAACTCACCGGAATTTCTTGAAAAGAGCCAAAATATTTTGACAAGGATCCTCAGCAAAGATATGAACCGAATTGATCAGCTCGGTTCAAAATTGTATTTCTTCAACGGTAATTCGAAAGAAAAGTTCTGAGTTATCATTTTATTAGACTTTATTAGATTAAGAAAGTTTCACAATTTATCTGAATTAGATTTCTTTCGACTGTGATATCGTTGTTGGAGGTTAATTCTTCGAATATTTTTTGTTGGTTGATAAAGAATTTACTTATGTGTAAGTATTTACAGATGAGAGAAACTCAAAACTGCACTACTGATCGATTTACAGAATAATTTATTTCCTCTGGCCAATATTTTCAATTTAACTGATTAAACAAAAATGCAATCTCCAAAATATTTAATTGGATTTTTGCTAATCTACTCAGCGCAGAGAAGTAGACAGGAGTATCACCAACTTCTTTGCACTACAGCTCAAGCATTGTAAGCCATGTAGTAAAATGTGAACATAAAGTAATTACTGATTTCCTTTTGGTTGCACTGTGTAAGTACTTCCAACCTTGGGAAATGACAGAAACTTGAGCCTTGCACATACCGAAATTGTGTGCAGAGGAGCGAGGACAGGCATTCCAAGTGATAATTGAGATCTAATGGGATGCAAATAACTTGAGGAGCGGAGTGAGTATTGACAGTTTAAGTGAAAAGTTGATTACTTTCACTAGAATGAAATGCGAGGGGCCGGATATACTTTGCCAGCCCCAGAATTTCCACTCACTGACACATTCTCTGAAGAGTTAAAGTGTGCATCGTTAGAATAATCGAGACATCTTCTGCTCACTCAGAAACGGTTGGTTCTATAACCAAGTGCATATTTAGCTCGATAAAAGTATTGCCTTATTTTTTGTGCATTGTTTGTATCTGACTAAATTTAGAGTTCCACTTGTAACATTTACTTTAGACATGATTCCGTATATATTTTTCTAAAAATCCGGCCTGTATACATACTGACTTGGTGAGTAAGTCTGTGCGTTGTTGTGTGCCAGGGAGTTGCACAGATGGAGAAAGCGATCCAAAACCAAACCTGACCGCTTTCTCAATTCCTTCAACTTTGATCGTATTTTGATTTTGCTAGCTTTCAAAGTTTCCCCACAAGTTTTCACAGAGACAAAATTTCTCATAAATTTAGGAATCACATTGACATTATAATAATATCCAAAAGCAAAAGTCGTTGCAAAACTTTGTTTGATGGATGTTAAAGTGAAACTAAAGACGCGAGGGGAAAGCGATGGACGAGGAAAAGTTAAAGTTTTAATGTTGTAGTTGATTTAAAGTCAGGATCCTACAATAACTCTGACTTTCTCTCTTTGTAGTCCTTAAGCCCTTGATAGTGTAAAGTATTTCATTCATTCAGCCCGAGCCAATTCCCACTGTTGACTGCGTCATACTTCAGTATTTGTTTAATTATTTTGAATTTCTGGGGAAATTGTGATGTTGTTTGAGTTATATCTACGTGGATTGCGCGAGTGCTTATTTTATGTTTACAAAGACTTAACTGACGAGTGAAGATAGATCTGAGAAATTCCTCCATGGAGTAAAGTATAAGATCAAACGGAGGACAAGAGAGATGACGAGGAGAACAGCAAAGGAAAGCAGAAATGAGCCTTGAGTACACAAAGGGTTTAGAATGTTGGGAATGACATCCAAGTCGTCGCCTCCTTTTCGAATGACAAAGTCACAAATGAAATTGAAATGATACATCGAATACACGAGTTCAGAATCACAAAGAACTATTAGCGTCCACGTATTTATGCAGTTGACTGTCGTATGTGCCTACATAAGGCGCACTACTTATTTCAACCATGTTGGAGTGACAGTGGTTTCATTTTCTTCAATTCCGAGATGTTGTGCTTAATTAGGTTATGACTTTCACTTAATAATTCTCTAAATAGTCTAAACTTATGTAGAATAGACAACAGAATACTTTCCTAGAAATAGTAATCGTACGTATGTATTGCTTGCAAAGATGTACGTAAACGATGTTTTGAACATGTACTGCCTAATGCATCTAGAGCAAGATGTACAAATAAAAAAATAATGATGCTCTAAATTAGCAAAGCTTACTTCTCGATATTTTATTTGTTAAAAAATATACAACAATACAGAGAAACAACTTATGTATTAGTGTGCGTTTCTTCAACGCATTTTCTACCGGAACTCATCCACGAGCAGAAATCTCATTAGTAAGCAGCTTATGATTGATGGAATTGTAAAAAAATATTTCATGTTGATCTTCATCTCTCCCCGTGGACAGGTAATGAGGCACGACTCGTTGCTGGCTTTCTTTTTATTCCGCATCCATCTATATCACTTTATATAATCTGAAATGAAATGGTGATGAAACGAGGACGCACCGTGGAAATACTTTCAGCGAAAAATCACTCCTTCTTCTTCTTCCTCGGCCTTTTAGCTATACTTCATCTCCTCGCAGTATCGCCTCGCATCTCGCTCCATGGGCTGCTGATCGATAAGAGTGGCGGATGGAGAGAGATGGACAGATTTATGTATTATTTCTGTTTCCCAATAACAGCCACCGTCGCTTTCACTTTCTCCTCCGCTTTCTCTCTCCCCTCTGGAGACTCGCCGAGTCGGTTTGCCAACTTAATGTTAAACCAAGTCAAACAGTTTCCCACTATCCACTGCATCTTATTACCGCTCCTAACGTGCACAGAAATTCCTTTCAATAATCCTTTTATCTCGAGAGAAAGACTACTCTCCAGACTTTACTTTCAAACAAAAATTTAACCTTCCACATCAATTATGTTAGAATTGGGTATGTACTTACTTGTGTGTTATGCAACAACTATACGTACCTATCACGCCATCCACGTACCATTGCGAGGGTATAGAAATATGTAA